GCCACGCTGCTCCTGGTTTTCGCCGACAGCCTACAAGAAGTGCTGCCAGATGTCAGCGACCGCCCGGCGCCCTCTGACCCCCAGGCTGAGCTGCAGTTTTACCTGGTGGTGGCTTTGGCCTTGATCTCGGTGCTCTTCCTCCTCGCATTGACTCTGGCCATTGCCCTGCGCCTGCGAAGCTCTTCCAGCCCCGCCTCAAGGGGTTGCTTTGGGTCTGCTCTCTTCTCCAAGTCTGGATCCGAGATTCCCCCCAACTACAGTGAGGGAACATTGCCCTATGCCTATAATTTATGTGTGCCAGGGGATCAAAGTAATCCGGAATTTAATTTTCTCACATCTGTTGATCATTTTCCAGCCACACAAGATATTCTTAACAAAGATAGCCCTTCGGGACTATTGGCTAGCATTTTAACTCCTAACGTTGAAGCAGATAAGACTTTTAAACAGGTAAGTATTTAAAATAATGACTTTTGTATTATAATATGCCAAAATATTGCAATATAGCATTGTTATTTTTAAAAATATTTATTTATTTATTTATTCGAGAGAGAGTGTGAGCGAGAGAGTGAGAGAGAGCATGAGCAGGGGGAGGGGCAGAGGGAGAAGCCCACTCTCCACTGAGCAGGGAGCCCATATTTGGGGGCTCCATCCCAGGACCCCCGGCTTATGACTGAGCTGAAGGCAGACACTTAATCGATTGAGCCACCCAGTCGCCCCTATAGCATTGTTATTTAAAGATTCTAGATTCAGGGGGCCTGGTTGGCTCAGTTGGTAGAGTATGCGACCCTTGATCTCAGGGTTATGAGTTCAAGCCCTACTTGGGCATAGAGCTTACTTAAAAATAAATCAAAATAATGATTCTAGATTCAATCTCTTGATAAAGTTCCTAAAAGTAAACCTAGGTCAAACCTAATGGTATAACTGTTTAGACTAAGGTTTACAATGCTGCAGTCCTTCTGCTATGCAATTTAAAGTAAAATATATATAGAAATCTCAGGCAAATTTTCCATGAAATTGAATACTTCTTAATTAAGACTATGGAACACAATTATAGTGTTATGCCATGGTATTTTAAATGACAATCCTAATGCCATCCAAATTTTCTCAAATGTTTCATCTTTATTTTATTCAATAAAATATTGGTAGGGATTATAGTCATGCGGTCTCGTGATTTTTTTTTTGGAACTTTGCTAGTTCCACATCCACAAATGCTGTTCCCTTCAGTAGGTAAAAATCAATAGGAAGCAAATCTAACCTGCAAGTTTTCAGTTCCAGTAGTATTTGAAAATATTTTTTTTAATTAAGCAAGCTCTTTTAATAATTACTCCTTTTATTAAGTTCTCTTGTTTAACCTTTAACATCACATTATACAGCTCTTTATTGTGTGCAATTTTCAGTGTTACAAATGTGTGTAATTCTCAAAGAAGTGTGTAATAACTTCTGGAAAAGACACATTTTTGGGGTTTTCTTACTCGTTGCAATAATAAGATTCGGCTCTAGGCGCCGCTCTTCACCAATCAGGGAACGGAAAGCTGTAAGCGGCAGTCCCTCCCTCCCCCATCTCTACAACACAAAGCCGAATAATACGGATACTCACAGATCCTGATGCGGGAAACTTAAAGTAGTTCGCTCTGTGATATATTTTGGATGCAGTCATTTCGGAACTTCATAGATACATAAGCTGATTCAGAACAAAACAGTTCAAGAAATCAGGGAATATAGGCTCAGCTTACTGCTATGGGGAATCGGCTACTGCGCCTGGACTGCAGCGGGCTGGTCCTCCTGTACATTTTCCTGAGGACGCTACAGGAATCTGGGGCAGGGCACATCCGATACTCGGTGCCCGAAGAGACAGACAAAGGCTTCTTCGTGGGCAATATTTCCAAGGACCTGGGGCTGGAACCCTGGGAGCTGGCGGAACACGGAGTCCGCATCATCTCCAGAGATAGGATGCAGCTTTTCGCTCTGAATCCGCGAAGTGGCAGCTTGATCACTGCAGGTAGGTTAGACCGGGAAGAGCTCTGTGAGACACTGTCTTCCTGTTTTTTAAATATAGAGATACTTGTGGAAGATACCCTGAAGATTTACGGAGTGGAGGTGGAAATAATGGATGTTAATGATAACGCCCCCAGCTTCCAGGAGGCGGAAATAGAGATAAAAGTCAGTGAGCACGCAACTCCGGGATCCAGATTTCCCCTTCCTAGCGCTAGGGATCCAGATGTAGGAATGAACTCCCTCCAGAGCTACCAGCTCAATCCTAATAGTTACTTTTCCTTACAAATGCGAGGTGGAACGGATGGGGCCAAGAATCCCGAACTAGTGCTGGAGGGGAGTCTGGACCGGGAGAAAGAGGCTGCTCACCGCCTCCTCCTCACAGCCTTCGATGGAGGAGATCCCATCCAACAGGGTGCTGTTGCCATTCGTGTGGTGGTCCTCGATGTAAATGACAATGTACCAAAGTTTACACAGTCTGTATATCAAGTTAGTATTCCTGAGAATCTCAGCTCTGGAACTCGGGTGCTCATGGTAAATGCAACTGATCCAGATGAGGGAATCAATGGGGAAGTGGTGTATTCATTCCAGAATATGGAAAGCAAAATTTCTGAAATATTCCAGTTAGATTCTAAAACTGGAGAAGTCTTAATACGAGGGTCTCTGGATTTTGAGAAATATAGATTCTATGAGATGGAAATTCAAGGCCAAGATGGTGGAGGTCTCTCCACCACTGCTAAGTTGTTGATCACGGTTGTGGATGTCAATGATAATGCTCCAGAAATAACTATCACATCTTCTACTAATTCAGTTCTGGAAAACTCTCCTCCTGGTACAGTTATTGCTCTTCTAAATGTGCAAGATCAAGACTCTGGGGAAAATGGTCAAGTCTCATGTTTTGTTCCTAACAGTCTGCCTTTTAAGTTGGAAAAGACTTACGGAAATTATTACAAGTTGGTAACAACCAGAATGCTGGACAGGGAGCAGGTCCACAGCTATAATATAACCTTGATAGCCACAGATCAGGGATTCCCGCCTTTGTCTACAGAAACTCACATTTCACTAAATGTAGCAGATGACAATGATAATCCTCCAACTTTTGCTGACTCATCTTACTCCGTCTACATACCTGAAAACAACGCCAGAGGAGCCTCCTTCTTCTCAGTGATGGCGATCGATCTGGACAGCAATGAGAACTCCCAGATCACTTATTCCTTGGTGGAAGATACCCTCCAGGGAGAACCTTTATCCTCCTACATCTCCATCAACTCAGACACTGGTACCCTGTACGCACTGCGCTCCTTTGACTATGAACAGTTCCGTGACCTGCAACTGTGGGTGACAGCGCAGGACAGCGGGAAGCCGCCACTCAGCAGCAATGTGTCTGTCAGCATATTCGTGCTGGACCAGAATGACAACGTGCCAGAGATCCTGTACCCCACCATCCCCACCGATGGTTCCACTGGTGTAGAGCTGGCACCCCGCTCCGCAGAGCCCGGCTACCTGGTCACCAAGGTGGTGGCGGTGGACAGAGACTCGGGCCAGAACGCCTGGCTGTCCTACCGCCTGCTCAAGGCGAGCGAGCCAGGGCTCTTCGCGGTGGGGCTGCACACGGGCGAGGTGCGCACGGCGCGGGCCCTGCTGGACAGAGACGCGCTCAAGCAGAGCCTGGTGGTGGCGGTGCAGGACCACGGCCAGCCC